GCACTTCAAGCAGGAGGTGTGTGGGTCGCTCGTGGGCACAGGCTTCGCGCAGGACGCGCACGGCTTAAAGCCAGGAGCCTTGGGCATGAGCCCGGCTATGCGCCGGGGGAAAAAGGGGGGAGAACAACCTCCTTAACCCCCGCTAACAACTTACAACTATTACAAACTAAGTGAAAAAACTATCTAAAGAACTTTAACAACTATACACAACTATCTATACTAATAAGAACGATAAGCTAGGGAGAGTGGAGAACAGCTATGCCGCGCTCCACAGTTCCAACGACCGTCAGGGGCGGTAAGAAGGAACTGAGGGGGCGCTGGGTCGGCTGGGGTATATATCCAGCGCCATGAAGGCGCCACTCCAGGGGGCTCCACAGCCGACCCACCGGGTGTTGCTAGGGTAAAAGTTTTCCGATGATCGTGCACGCGGCGCGCACACACCTAACTGGAATGGATATGAGCAAGCACTCAAAGAAGAATCATAGATCAGCTTTGAACAGCCCTCACTTCTGGCTGTCCAGTTTGGAAGTATACTCCCCAACTGGCTGCTCAGAGGTGTGTCCTCTATGCAACAGGGCAAGCTGGATCTAAATCAGCGGTTCTCAAACTGGGGGTTGGGACCCCTCAGGGGGTCACGAGGTTATAACACGGGGGGTCATGAGCGGTCAGCCTTCATCCCAAACCCCGCTCTGCCTCCAGCATTTATAATGGTGTTAAATACATAAAAAAGTGTTTTTAATGTATAAGGGGGGTCACACTCAGAAGCTTGCTGTGTGAAAGGGGTCACCAATACAAAAGTTTGAGAACCACTGATCTAAATTCTGTGGCTCTGTTGCTGGATTCTGTGACACAATAGAAGTTTTTGTGGCCACTTAAATTTAAATAATGAAGGTTTGAAATGAAATACAGAAATAAGACCAATTAGTACCGGAACCCTCATGTTTATTTTGATAATGAATTTTATTTGTTATGCTGTCCCCACATTTTCACAAACAAAAAGGAAGCAAAACCAGGTATATATACTTTCGGAATACATGAGAAATGGGTAACTTTAGGTATAATAAAGAAAAACAGTTTAAATTTTTTCAGTGTCCTTTTGATATTTGAATGATCTTTACTTCAAACTATAAGAAAGGCAGCTATGCCTGAAAGGATTTCATACCGTCTAGCATTACTCTTAATGGAAAAAAAATGACAAATGATTTGTCCTAGATTCTTTTGACTTGTCTAGTGCTATTGGGTGGGGGGAATTCTTATTTTTCCATAGCTCTGCAACTGAGCATATAGCTGCTACCACTAAGTGTGTTAAGACATCAGAGTTTTGTGGTCTAAATAGGTGCTTAACTGGTAACGTCAGTAAAATTGCCAGTGAATGACAGTATTTCCGGACTGTTATGCCTGGATTTTAGTGTAGTCCCATCGGGGGGGGGATACCAACCAATCCACAATTCCTCCAGCAAATATTTGAAACATCTTTATAGTGTTGTTTCAATCTGAAGAAAGTCAAATACTAGTGGAATATGATTTTGTATTGTGCTTTTCTACATGTGTTACCATAAAAGAGTTGCTCCAGGCCACATGCATGACCACTGTTCATAAAAGAGCTCTTCACACAACTACTCCTCCCACTTATGTATCTAATTTATAATGTAATAATTACCAAATACCTGCCAGGAATTATATCTTCTGATCCCTTAGATTTCGTAATTATTTTTTCCAATTCTGTGAGGGCTCTAACTAAAGCAACTCATAGTATGAATGGTTTTTAAATATTAAGTAATTAAAAGTGAGGCTTTCTAATGGGACAACCATTTTCTGTATTTCACCTGTCCACTGGTTTCCCTTTTCAAATAACAGAGTCATTCTGCGAAAGCTCTTCTCCTTTCCTTAAAAAAAAAAAAAAAAAAAAAACCCCAAAAGGTCTGAGGAAGACTAGAATTCCATTTTATCACAGTAAGTTTGGGAGATTCTAGGCTATCTCTAACCCTTATTTTCTCCCGTAACTTTAGAGTAAGAGGTGCTACCATGTAGACTTCCTTCTGTTTTCCCCTTGATGTTTGGGAATAAAAATCAAAGCAATTAGTAGAATAGGAAACTCCTCTTGTTCTCGTTCCACCTGTTTCTCTCTGTCTGGTGTACCTTGCCACCAATGTTCAAGATGGATCACCCAATAAGTACTTTTTATATTGGTCACTGACAGGTCACCTTATGATTTAGTTCTAGAAAGAATTTTCCTGTTAATTTTAGCCATTTTGTTTCCCCAAATGAGCTGGAGGATTTTCTAACATCTTATGGGAAACCTTTACTGGAATATTCTGGAAGAGGAAGGTGATCCTTAGGAGCAACATTATTGTTATGGCAGTAATGTTGCCAAAACACTATAATCATCTCTTGCTTTTCAATCACTTTTTAATTATTTTTTTTAACAAGCACAGGTGGCTGGCTTCATATAATGTTATTAAATGGGGAAAAAACATTGACCATTACATACTTTTATGTGATGTTTGGCTAACTTAAATTTAAAATGAATTTGTAGCCTTGTTTGACATTGATCTTTAAGGCAAATTGACATGACTTGCAATTTTGTATAATTAATTTTAAAACCTACGACCTCCCTAAATGTCATTCTTTTGAGGGATTCTGCAGTCATGAATAGGACTTCATCCACAAAGAATGCTATATTATGGATTGACTTCTTTGCATTTAAATCCTGTATTTGTTGAATTTTTCTAATTTTCTGTGCAAATGGTTTCTTGGTTAATACAAACAAGGTGGGGAATAGTGGACAACTTTGCCATAGGCCTCTACGAAATGAGAAAGGCTCTGAATATTTATTACTGACTCTTTCTTTAGCTTTTATAGATTGGTATAAGATTTCAGTCCATTTTTTAATTTTACTTTCTAGACCTGGTCCCTTCATAAACTTCCATTTAACTTGCTCATAGACTTTTTCCGCATCTAGTGAAAGTACCATACCTGACCTCCTTACCTTTGATAGGCTTGAATGGATCACAACCAGTAACCTACGAATGTTATCTAATAGCTGGCTTCCCTGATTAAATCCCATTTGATATATACTAGTTATTTTAAGTGTAAATGATTCTGTCAACACCTTTGCAAAACTCTTAAATTCTATATTTGACAATGAGATGTGCATATGTGAAGTACATTCAATCTTATATCTTTTGGCCTTTAAAATCACAACAATATTGATTGATTTCTTCATATTTGCTAATGTTTTGAAGTCCTGAAAATTACTTAGACGTTTAGGGGAAAACTGATAAGTCAAAGATTTGTACAATTCAGTTGAGAACCTTTCCATACCAGGTGCTTTACTTGAGAGCATATTTTTAATGACTGATTTGACTTCCTCAGATTCTTTCTGCAGATGTTCAGGTATAACTGGGAGCCCAGATTTTCCAGTGTAAGAACTTGTATGACAGTGCATCTCACTGTTGTGTTCTCTGATACCAATCATAGTATTTTTTTCTTTTTCCTGTCTTAGCCTATATGCTGAATTGTTATGGCCCTTATTTCCCATCCCATTGTACTTTTGTTTAAACTGATATACAACACAGTCTCTTTTTTCTGGCCACAGAACAGAGAGCTGCTCTCTAAGGAAGGGAGGTTTAGCCAGCGTTTTCCTTGCATCTGTCTTTTTGTGCAACTTCTCTAATTTTTTTATTTCAGAGAGAAGAAACTTGTCTTCTGTATTTTTTCCCCTTTTAATTCTAGAGAATGTCTCAATTAATTTTCCCCTCAATACTGCCTTATAAACCTTCCATAGTGTATTGGTACATACATTTCCATTTTTATCATTATTGAAAGAAATTTTGGTTTTGCTAATTACATCATTCAGTACTATAAGGTTTTCAAATAATGGATTATTCAGGTCCCAGTTGCTATGCCTCCTACAACCAAACAAATCTTTAAGTGTTGTCATGATAGGAATAGGGACTGACCATGTAAGTTCACCTCTCTTTGCCTCAGTTAGAAAATCCTTTAAGCAAGCAGACAAAGATATATAATCTATTTGCGTGAACAGCAAATGGGGATATGAATAAAACAAATAATCCCTCACAAATGGCTTCACATTCTTCCATGAATCCAGTAGACTGAGCTGGGAAAGATTTTGTTTCAAATATGAGCCAGGGGAATTGGGTTCCTCCTTTCCACTGTCTGATCTATCAACTGTAGGATTTGAGGTGAGATTTAAATCTCCCTCAACAATGAGATCCTCAGAAGAAAATGTCAGGACAGGAAGAATAGCATTGGGAAAGGCTCTTTGTCCAGTGTTAGGAGCATATACCAAGCACAGGGTAATTACTCTGCCCAGTAGATTTCCTTTAACTGTTATGAATTTCCTCATTTTAACACTGTTTTACTTCAAGTTGAAGTCTCTTAGCTAGGAGGCTGGCCAACAAGGTGATGTTTCAAGACAGTGTCAGGAACCATTGAATCACTATTTAAAACAAAAATGTAGGTCTTATATCAGCTGGAGAGAAAGTGGAGGGAGAGGCCCTTTTATCCACATCTGATGAGTATGTCTGAAGTCAGCCAAATTCTGAACATATATCTCAGATATGTTTTGAAACCACTGGATTGAGAGAGTCCCTTGATCTCTTTGTGCTGCTTCCAGACTTTCCTATGAGAAGGGGACGATCTTGTGAAAACCTCTAAAATGATATACTCTTTACATGGTGAAATACCTCAAAGATTCTCATGCTCCCTGTCTTTACATTGGAAAAAGAAAGAACTCCCAGATAGAACTACTTGGCTGCAGAGAGTCTGCAATACATTTGTCAGGGGAAAGCTCACAGAAGATTCAAAAATGGTTCTAATGATTTCTCTACAATGTGACTTCCCTTCTTTGAAAATAATCAGGCACTCTGATAAATGTAACTATTTTTCCTTATTATGATCTATGTGCCATCTTCTCCCAGTACATTAGCCGATTTATTTGTTTCTAATTTCTTCTTTGTTCATCCTGGTTACCAGACCCTCCACAGCGCCTGTTATGTTGTTATGGTTCCTCTGCATGTTGTTCTCCCATGGTTCCTGTTTTATTGCTTTATTCTGTTATCTCTGAAGAGTTAAAAAAAAATAAAAGAAAAAAAAGTTTTTATTAATAACAATTACCGCTCTCTTCCTCCCCCAGAATAACCCTGCCACTTAATTTCAGATGTACTCACTGTTGCAGCCATTGCTGCTGGTAGTCTCAACCAGGCTGGCACTACGCTCTGTTGAGCTGGCCCTTCGAATGTGGGCCTTCCTGACAGTGAATAAGTGACCAAAAAAAGGGGGATGGAGGAGAGATGAAGAAACACAGAATGAGAAAATATTGGTCAGAGAAGAGAGAGACAGTAAATGAATGGTGCTTTCATGAACAATGTAATACTAGCACTTTGCAACTTCTAAACACGTGACAAACTTTAATATTCAGCCCCTTTGTGAGGTAGGGGGGAAGCAGAAGAAATTTGCTCAAAACCACACAGCATGCCCGTAGCAGTGCCAGGATTAGAACTCAATGTATGGGTCCCAGCCAATGTTGCTCTGAGCTGCCTCTAAGGCCTTTATTATGTAATTGGTCACTATAATACAATTTTAACTAATTAATCATTTAAATCTGCTAAAAGCCCTTTCAAAATGCTGAAGAAAGGGATGCTTTCTACATAGCTGCTTTAAACATAGCTAACCTTCTTTTGAAGAGCTCAGTGAATACCTCACCATCTTGACTCTTAAAAAAAAAAAAAAAAAAAAAACCCTTTAGACTTTAAAAAAGAAAGAAGCTGTCAGTTTTGCTCCTTTGTGTCCAGTTTTTGTCCTGTGGTGACTAATTCCTCCACATAATGTGTTGCCTTGATGGCTCTATTCCTAAATGGGGTTGATTAGATGGGTGGCTCCGATCTTGTTTGTTAATATACTCTTCTCACATAGGCAATTTAACCAGTCAACATGGGTTTATATTATGTCAATGATTCACTGATCTGTAACTATCCCTAGCGTTCCATTTGCCCCCTCTATGCTGTCTTCTTCCCCTTTAAATTCTATTGGGGGAATTGAAGTCATAATGTTCTATAACTTAACACAATGAGAAAAAACCTCTCTCAGGTGGATTATAGACCAGATTCAAATCAGCCACCTCTTTTACTCTTTTCTAGTATACCTTGTACAGCCTTCTCCGGGGGTTAGGAGTCCGAGGGGCCTTCCACAGACATTTTGAATTGCTTGTAGTGAAATCTGCCTTTTGCTCTCTTAGTAACACCAAGCACCATAAATACCTTCCTACTTTCCTCAGTGGTCTGTCTTCGTTCCATTTAGATAACAGCTGGAGTATGCGGAGATCTGCATGGGTGGCGAGGGGAATGGCCAAGGAGCTCTCTCTTCTCCCACCCCCTTGTGTGCTATACAGGAAGCTGGCACACTCAGTCCTTGCTCTTGCTCAGCAAACTGGTTAAGGTAGCTATATGGCCCTTTGTGCTGCTCCACAGCAGGGGCCAGAAGTTGGCCCTATAGCATTAATAATTGTTAAAACAGAAATTCAAGTTCAGAGCTCCCCTACATAAAACCAATTATCTCAATTAAAGAATCCTTCACATCCCTTTTTTCAATTCACAATGTAAATATTTAGCTGCTATTGTTAAAATATGGTTAATGTTGACACTATGCCATAGATCCCAGCAATTGTGGAGGACAGTTTGGAATACCCTTACTTGGTGAACTTTCCGAGGGGACAGTGTGGACATACTTGTACCACATTTTGGTAAAAGGGGCTCCCTCTTCTAAACAGGCAAAGTTAACATGTCTGTTTTGCTGTTCATGGAACAGTAAAAATTTTCTGAATAGAGTTTAATAAAACAGCAAAGAAAACTAAGTTGCTAAAACTCAAGTCATTTGTAGTACCTGCTACCTGATGCAATATTTGTGGGTGTAGAGAGCAAGTTTCCCAGTAAAGATACAAAATCATTTTACAAGATTTCATTCTATCTGAAGAGACATAAAACCAAGATCTTGCCTATGTGACCATTAAAGTTCTCTTTGCATTTTTTTTCTGAGGGTAAGCATGTTAATCCCAGTACCCTGGCCGTATTCCAACCTGGGTAATTACATTCTGCCTTCCTGAAACTCATCTAGGCCTTGTCTACACTAGCCCTTTCCCAAAATTACATACCACTATAGTTCAGCTCCACAGATGCTAGCAATGATGAGAGTGTTAGGTTAGACAGGGCTCTCACATCTGTCAGCATTTTTACCACCAAACTATTAAGATCTGCTCTGAGCAGCATTGAACAACATGATGGTAAAAATAATCACCTTTCACAGAACCTCTGTCTACACTATTTCTTCACTATTACTAGCCATGATGGAGCTGCACCACTGGAAAATTTGGGGAAGGAAAAACCCAGTGTACACACAGCCCTAGAGTTTGTTAGATAATGTAGCTTTCTTTATTTCATCAGGGGAGTCGGTTAGGATTTCCTGTCCTAAACTGTTGTGTAATATTTTCCTCTGTCAAACAACTGCATCATTTCTCCCAGAGCTGGCTGCACTTTAGTGCAGAGAAGTGATTTTTGACATATAGGAGCCAAGGAGGCTGTAGTATTCAAGTCACTGTTTGAAAATCGTTTTGGATCTCTCTAAATGACAAAGGTAGGAGATTATCAGGTTCTGTGTACCCCCAGTAGACAAACTGTCTCAGAGAGGTATGTGATGGAGATGATGATCTGACACAGAATTACCATTCCTCACGCCCCATCTTGATCCTACTGTGGTAAATGGCAAAACTCTCAGGAACTTCATCAAAGAAAGGGATGGGTCTTTTAGAAAGGCTTTAAAGCTTCACAATCCTGCACCTGTTAAAGTCCATGACACTTTTGCTGTTTACTTCACTACAAGCAGGATGGGGCAAAGGAGAAAAGAAAGAGTCTCCGTTAATAAAGTCTCACCTCCCTGTCCCATGGGAAGGGTCAGCAAGATCATTTCTGGGCCCTAGGGACAATGGAAAATTCTAGCACTTTTACCCTGCGCTGTACACAACCAGTGTGTCCACTACTAGCTTTATCCCTTTAGTTCTATCCTGCTGTCTCCACACCACTGTCCATTTCTTCATTTGCCTCTCTTCCCTTCTACAGTGTTTCCCGTTTCACTCAGACCTTCCTTCATTTTCTCATGCACCCTCTCCATCCCTCTATCCATTTCAAATGCTCTATCTTTTATCACTAATTCTCTCCCATTTTTCCTCTTTGTGCAGGTTCTGCCTCCCAAAATCATGTTCTGCTGATGAATCCCTGGGCATGATCAAATACAGTGA